CAGCTGCTAACTGCCCATGAAGTCGCTAAATTTAAAATTAATTAAACAGTCTGAATGGATATTTTGAAAATTTTTTATTAGGGGTGGGCACGGTCGGTTCGGTGGTAGAACCGACCAACAGTAGCAATTAACCGACTTTTTTATGGAGAAAAAGTACGAACCATTCACCAAACTGGTTTAATTTTGGTTGTATTGGTTCGGTAACCGATCTATTTTGATTTTGCGATTTCAGTTTTGGATTTGACCGAAATACAGAGAGGAACAGATGAGAACGATGGGAGATGAAAATTGTGATGGCAGTGTTGCGCCACTCCATCAAGAATGAGTTCATTAGGTGAGATCTGTACTTTTTGTAAGCTATAAGTACCGAGTTCTTCTTAGATCATTTAAGGGAAAAAAGGAAAGAGATATGGAGAAGAGAAGACGGAGAGAGGACGAAGAGAAGCAAAAAGCTGTGTGAGGGAAATGAGGAAGAAAGGAACAATTTGATTCAATGACTGAAACAAAAAATTAGAATAAGTTGTAAAAATAAAAACAAATAGTACAATAAAATAAAACTTAACGGTCGTGGGACCAATCAATTTTAAATTTCAAAAATCATGAGATGTTAAAGAGGGAGAGAGAAGACTTGACACTTGAGGTTGAACACGGAAACCAGAATGCTGGTGGAATCCCTAATAAAAATAGGTTAAATACCCTTTTTGGTCCCTCTACTATAGGAAAAAGCCCTTTTTTGGTCCCTATACCGAAAAAATCCCCTTTTTGGTCCTTACTGTTCACAAATCCGGCCCCTTTTTAGTCCCTCCGTTAAATTTTTGCTGATATGGCAGGTTAACTAACGGAATCATCTGATTATTTTTTATACAAATAATATTATAAATGAGGTGGAAATTATGTGGATGCCACCTGTACAAATTAAAAATTTTATTTTTTAATTCATCAATTAAATGAATTTAAATAGGATTAATTTTAATTTTTTAATCGTTGTCTTCTTCTTTGTTAACATTGATAAATTTCTAGGCCTAAAGCAATGTGGGAAGAGTTGCAGGTTACGTTGACCTTCTTTCTCCTCATCCTTGGCATCATACTCATCCTCATTAGCTGCTAGGCTCTTTGCAGGTTAGCGAACCTAGTTTGGGTTCTTCACGGCATCCTTTTGTTGGGTTCACAGAACCCAGTTGCTGGGTTAGTGGAACCCAGATCTGGATTCCGCGATGCTTGGTTCGCGGAACCCAGATCTGGGTTCTGCGAGGAACCCAGTTTCTGGGTTCGCGGAACCCAGATCTGGGTTCCGCGAGGAACCCAGTTGCTGGGTTCGCAGAACCCAGTTTCTGGGTTCCTTGCTTGCTGGGTTCATAACTTTGCCTTGCATTTTAATGCAATTTGAACTTGAACTGAAATTCAAAGATCTAGGTCACTAGAAATATTTGTTCCAGAATCAACCAATACAGAATTATGTGGACCATAACTTCAATTTCATGTAGGAGAAACAATGGGTTTGTTGAGTAATTAGTATTCTTGAGAATCTGAATTTCTTGACCACCTGATATCCTTCTTGAAAATCTCTATGTTTCCATTGCTGAACTGAAGTTCGTGTCTGGAATTCTAGGATTTGATCTTGTGTAATGCATGTTATCTTCAAATTTCCAGATAGTCTACCTCATTTCTTGTTGATCTGTTGTTTTTGCTTACTTACCCCACTGGCGATCAACAAGGAGGAATATCTCCGGCTAACCCAAGGTTAGTTATGTAAATCTGGAACTTGCATCGACTTCGTTTGTTTGTAGCTAAATACCTTTGAGTTTTGACCATACCCCTGCCATGCAATTCCTTTTTTATTGTAAGAGTTTGTCCATGAAATTATTTTTCACAAATGAGGACAAATCGGCTTCTGTTGGATCCCTTGTCTGCAATTTCGGCATCTAAACTTCTTACTCTCAAGTTCACAAGTTGCTGGGTTGTTATGTTCTGTTGTTTTTTAATTTTTAGCCGTTTGTCTCCTCTCTTCGGTCAAAGATCCACGCCGTCTTGTTCCGCCAATTGGATCTATCTCTACTAGGAAAGCCCCAGAGATTGCATGGACGTCGCGAACCCAAGACTTGGGTTTGTCACGAACCCAGGCTCTTGGGTTCGCCTGGAGGTAAACGAAAAAAAAAGCAAAAAAAAAA